ATTTTATTATTTCTATATTATATTTTCTTATCTTACATTGAACAAACTTAGTCTTAAAACATAAATCATATTATTAATATCAATAACAATTATATTTATTTGTACGTATCATTTGGAATAAACATATAATATAAATAATATAATATAAAATATAATATAATACAAAATATTATATCATAAAAAAATTTAATATAAAATACAATATAATATAAAAATAATATAATACAAAATATTATATAATAAAAAAATTAATATAAAATACAATATACTATAAAAATAATATAGCATAAAAAATTATTATATATATAATAAAAAAATATAATATAAAATACAATAAAATAATATAAATAATATAATATACAAAATACAATATAATAAAAAAATATAATATAAAATACAATACAATATAAATAATATAATATAAAATACAATACAATATAAATAATATAATATAAAATACAATAAAATAATATAAATAATATAATATACAAAATACATAATATAATAAAAAAATATACTGGTTACTGGTTACTGATAAAACTTTATTCCATGTCTACCCTCGTGGGTTTCAACATAGCCTTCTTGCTATATACAGTTAATAAAAAAATATAATATAAAAAATATAAAATACGCTATAATGTAAAAAAATATAAGATGTTTTTTTTTATATATATATATTTTAGTCAATTTGAAAATAAATAAATGTTAGAAGAATAAGTGAGAAAAACAAAGTACTAAGCTTAATCCTAAACTCGTAACATTTATCATTTTCACTCTCTAACTCGACGTAACATGATCTCTTATGATATATGATATAGCAAGTATATAATGTATAGAGACAGAAAACACACACCCACAAATATATACAGAAAAAGAAGACAAGGAATTAGAGATGACAATCCAAGTGTTTGACAATTTTCCAAACAGGAAGATACATAATTAACTTAATTATTTATATTAATGAACATTCATTAGAAAATTCATTATCAATAGTACTCTCGTTTAACTATAATGTGCTTATCATTTAAACTCGTTAACATCAAATTAACATTTTTATCAACACTCGTCGAAGTGTTGTTAATCATCCTAATCGAAAATTGTCATTGACGTTTAATGCTTCATTATCTATCTAATGGACAATGCGTTAATTAATTAACTCGAATAATTGATAATAGATAGTAGTAGTAGTAGTAGTAGTAGTAATAGTGAGTTACGATGGTATTAGATCATTCATTCACCTAACTAACAACGAAACTGATATATCTCGATTATTATTCTGACACCTTTTGTGTATATAATTTATCATCACGACATATGTGTAAGTTTTAATAATCTTACTAATCGTACATTATCATTATTATCATTAATATTATTATTATTATTATTATTATTATTATTATTATTATTATTATTAAAATTAAACTTTTCGTTATATATAATTATTTTTGTAACATTTTCTTTTTTCTACCTCCGATATACTAGTTCGATAATAATTGTAACACGTTTCGCATAGTATTATGAACATGCAAGTGAAATTTTAGAAATTTATTAATAAACTAGATATTAAAATTGTTCTTAAACTTTGTATATGTGTTAAACTATAATTAATTATATTTTTTTTTCTAATTTATTTGATCATTCTTTTATGTTTCTTTTTTTTTTTTTGGATTTATTAATTTTCTTTTTTTCTTTTGAAAAGGTCAAGGGGAAAATATCTCGTACACTCACATTTATGTAAAATTTTAGAAATTTATTAATAAAGTAGATTTAAAATTGTTCTTAAACTTAATGTGTTAAACTATAATTAATTTCTTTTTTTTGTTTCTAATTAATTTTCTGATTTTTTTTTTATTCTTTTTTCTTTTGAAACGGTCCTGGGGAAAAGGGTGGTAGGAATATCACGTATACTCACGCGTACATACGAGAGAAAAGCTTCATTAATGTGTTCTAACAGTACACTAGTTGTTATTAAAGTTTTTTTTTAACAATATAATTTTTTTCCTAATTTAATTTTCTATTTTTTTTTTGTAGCTAACTTTTATTAAATCTTTTTTTTTTTTTGTTTCTCTCGTTTGATCGCACATTTTATATTACACACCTTTTCCGTATGCGTGGTAACTACGCGTATTTAAAAAAAAAAAAAAAAAAAATTCCTGGATAGAGAAATTTAATGAAACGTCATGTCGAATATGTATAAAAATGTTTCATTATAACTAGTTTGTATTTTTTTTTTTTTCTGTTAAAATATTTTAACGAGAATGTGTACAATTATACGAAAGACATCATTTTTAATAATTGAAAAAATAGGGAAACAAAAAATATAGCATACTTAAATATATATATATATATATATATATATATATATATAATGTTAGTACATATATATTTGAAATAAAATAAAACGTAAGCACAATATGCAATATACAACAAAAAATAAATCAAATACCATAATGAAACAAATCAAATAACTAAACAATTTTTTTCATATAAATAAATAATATCGAAATCCAAAAGAAATAATTTTTAATAATTGGTAAAAAAGGAAATAAAAATATAGGATACTTAACCTTTACTTATCACCCTTCTAAGAGTAACACGCTTACCACACCCGGGTCTTTTGGACCCGGACAAGAAAAATCGTTATAAAAAAAAAACTATTGCATAGATTTACTTCAACATTTTTTTCAGGCTTCTTTAATTCTTACTTAAAAAGACTATATAGGTTTTATAGGTTTAAATTAAATTTAAATACGTTGAAAAAATTACCAAAGTTGAACAATTGATGAGAACAAATGACTCAAGTTGTAAAAAAGGTCTGGGTCCTTTGGACCAACTGTGGTAATCAAAGGTTAAATATATATAATGTAAATACATATACATTTGAAATAAAATAAAACGTAAGCAATATACAATATACAATAAAAAAAAAAAAGAATCAAATACCATAAAAAACAAATCAAATAACTGAACAATCTTTATTCTATAAATAGATAAAATCAAAAAATCCAAAAGACCATAATTTTTGATAATTGAAAAAAAGGGAGAGAAAAAAAATATATATATATAGGATACTTGAATATATATATATATAGTAAGTACATATATATTTGAAATAAAATAAAACGTCAACAATATGCAATATAAAATAAAAAATAAATCAAATACCATATAAAACAAATCAAATAACTAAACAATCCTTATTATATAAATAGATAAAATCAAAAAATCCAAAAGACCATAATTTTTGATAATTGAAAAAAAGGGAAAGAAAAAAAATATATATAGGATACTTAAATATATATATATATAGTAAGTACATATATATTTGAAATAAAATAAAACGTCAACAATATGCAATATACAATAAAAAATAAATGAAATACCATATAAAACAAATCAAATAACTGAACAATCTTTATTCTATAAATAGATAAAATCAAAAAATCCAAAAGACCATAATTTTTGATAATTGAAAAAAAGGGAAAGAAAGAAAATATATATAGGATACTTAAATGTATATATATATATATATATATATATAATGTAAGTACACACATATATATATATATTTGAAAAGAAAGAAGAAAACGTAAGGAATGTGCAATTTCGAGTTTGAGATGATCCAAGATAAAACGTTCTTTCGTGAGGCCGGCGCGTGTGATATTCGCGTATAAATCCTTTTATCTCCTCCCACCCTTAGGGCCAAAAAGGAAAAGGTGATATAGAGTTTGGCCCCACACAACCAATCTAACCAACCTAACCCCCGTTGCTTTACGTTAAAAATCGAGCATCCCCACCCCAACCCATTTTATATGACCATTATATACCCGGTGGGATTCGTATAAAGCGTTAACCGTTCGGATTACTTTGGATCTGCTGGACCATTCGTTCGACTTTATTCCTTCCAACGAACGCATTTACATTCATCGATATTCCTTTTTCTTTTTATCTATTCTTTGTCTAGTTCGTCTAAAAAAAATATTTATATATATATCTTCTCTTTCATATTACATTGTTTTACGATGTATTTTTCTATTCAATCATTCGTGTGTGATCGTATATATATATACGATGTGTAATTTTTCGTTTTTTACTATTTCTAATTTAAATTTGTACTATTTTTATTATGTAAATATATTTACTATTATATTCACTACTAATTTTTATTAATTTTGTTTATATTAAATTTATTATATTAATTTTATTATATAAATATATTTACTATTATATATTTACTATTAATTTTTTACTAAATTTATTAATTTATAATTTATGTAGATTATATTTTATGTTCCTTTTTTTTTTTTTTTTTGAAGTTATTAGAAATTATGTCTTATATTTTCATATTATCTATTTTATATGACAAATGTCACAATTATTTATTTGATTTGTTTTATATGGTTTCCTTTTATTTGTACTATACATAATTAAATATAAAATTAAAATATATGTGTTATATACGTAAAAAAAAATATGACATCGAATTTGTCGTCGACAACAAAATTTCAAATTGTATTAAAAGAATATTTTCAATGATATTTCATCTAATATTAAAAAAAAATTCTATGACTTTCTTTATTGAAATGAGAAAGAATTTTTTTTACCAAGTCCATAGAAATTCTAATCTCTCTCTCTCTCTCTCTCTCTCTCTCTCACACACACACACAGAGAAACCTTCGAAAAATCTTTTCATTTGGTCGAAAAGAAAAAAACTGGAATAATCGAAGATAGTGGGATAAAACGAGAAAGAAAAGATGGTGGGAGAAAAAAAGGAATCCCGATTAAATCGATCATGCTGAATATTCCATAGTAATTTCGTGAAATTTTCTATCTACCAATCGAAAATATCCATTGATAAAAAAAAGAAGAAAAAAATGTTGAAAGGTTGATAAGGTTTTTCTGAACTGAGAATGATATCATTCGATATAAAGGGGGTGTATTTTATATATGAGAGGAATTTTGTCGTAAAGTAAGAAATTCGTAAGACTTTGGTGGCTTACCGTACGGTTTCCCAAGTTCTTGACTTTGCAGACTAGTGCAACGGTTTTGCCCACTAAACCGGTGAAATTCGATTGCATGGATGCATCGAAAATGGGCACTGTACCTGGCGTTGGCCATTCCTCCAAGAAATCGGTTCGAAAATTTCGCAATGAGGATACCATGGCGCCTGTAAAAAAATCAAAATAACACATGGATTATTTTACAAATCATTTTTTTATTATTATTATTATTATTATTATTATTATTATTATTATTATTATTATTATTATTATTTTCAAATATTAATTATAAAAATTTCAAACACAAAAAGAACTTATTTATATTTCAAAAAAATATATTTATTATTTTAATAAATTTTACCATTTTCTTTTTTTTTCCTTTTTTACTATTTCTAATTGAAATTTTTCATTATTTTTATTATATAAATAAATTTTACCATTTTTGTTTTATTTATTTTTTTACTATTTCTAATTTAAATTTGTACTAATTTTATTATATAAATATATTTACTACTATATTTATTACTAATAATTTTTATTAAATTTTTTTATATTAATTTTATTATATAAAGATATTTACACTATTATATTTACTACTAATTTTAACTAATTTTATATTATAATTATTTCATTAATAAATATAAATATATTTATTGTATAAATAAATTGTTACACATGAACAACAACACACCATCAAATCACACAATATTATCTTTTTCATTTTTCTATTTTTTTTATATTTTTATTTTTTTTTTTTATCGTAATATAATCGTGTCATTTGATATTTACCTTTTTTTTTTTTAATTATTCCAATACGTCAGTCATGAATTATTACATTTTGCATTTACTTATTTTAAAAACAAAAACTATTACAATCGATCATTTGATTCAACAGATCGTATATATATATATATATATATATATATATATATATAGGAAGAGTCATTTGCATACCTTAAATAACTTGCAAATTGTGCACGTAATGAAAAAATTATGTAAATCGTTTCGCATAAGAATTTTTTTACCTCCTCCTCTTTCACCCCCTCACTTCTATCTTTCTTCTTTTTCTTCTTTTTTTTTTCCCCATGCGATTTAAAAAAAAATAAAAAAAATAAACTATAACGACGACAACGATGAAAGTTTGAAACCACACACCATCCTTTTTGATGATATGAAAAAAAAAATAAAAAAGGAAAAAAAAACCAGTATTTTTGACGTTTATTGAAATAATAATTAAACGGAGAATATTATTTGGATGGATATAATTAAAAAAAAAAATAAAAAATAAAAAATAAAAAAGAGAAAGATTTATCGTTTGAACATTTTTTTATTAGTATGACGAATAATGGTAAACGCGTTTCAAGCCGTTTAAAACGGAAATTAATTTTCGAATTTAGTTGAAATGATCTTCTTCTCGTTGAAAAGCTTGGAAAAGTTTTTATTCTCATTCCCTCTCTCTCTCTCTCTCTTTCTTTCTCTTTCTCTCTATCTCTCCCTCTCTCTCACACACATACACACTTTTTTACACCTTTTGTCTTTTTCTTTTTTTATCGTAGGTTATCCTTTTTCTTGAAAACTTGAGATTAATGTTGAACGATAGATTTGAGGATAATTCGTAGAGGTCGTAGCGTGCAATAAATCGCAACGTCAAAGCAAACTCCACCTACCCTCAGCTCACCCTCACCCTCCCCATGCCCATGCCCTTCTACTCCCACGACTGGTGCGGTTTTACCCTCTCGTTATACGATTAAACGCGATATATCGTATTACATCAGCCGTCAGTATATTCGTTGAACGGACCACTCTTCTCTTCTCTCTCTCACTCTCTCCCTCTCTCTCTCTCACACACTCTCTCACTCTCACTCTCACTCTCTCTCTCTCTCTCTCTCTCTCACAATCTCTCACTCTCTCTCTCTTTCTACGGTAACGTCAATTTCGTTAAGTGCTTACATTGTGTTCGAACGACTAATGGAAGCTTCGATGAAGTGGTTTTTCGAGTGAACAAAAATTTTCATTCCAGAACTTTACTTTTTTTTTTTATTTTTACAAGTTTTTCTTTTTTTTTTGTTCTTCTTTTTTTTCCCTTTCTCTTTCTTTCTGTCTTTCTCTTTCACTTTCTCTCTTTTTATTCTTCTATTTTTTTTTTTTTAAAGTTTATACAGTAAAGTTTAATACTTTTTTTTTTTCAATTAAAATTGTATCGTCGGAGATTGGATGTTTCATTTTAGTCTAATGATTTTCTTTTCTTTGTTTGCTTGATTGTTTGTTTGTTTGTTTTTGTTTGTTAGTAAGTTAGTTGATAATTTAATTTAAAGTTATATTAAAATTTGTTATTAGTAGTTTTAGTTATTTTATTAGCAGTTTGTTGTTTTTGAATCTTTTTCTTTTGTACAGTATTTTCTTCACTTGTGTATTTAAATTTAACACATTATTATTTTATTTTTAAATTAAATGTAGGTATGTATTGTTATATTAATGGTTCGGTAATTTAGCGATTTTATTTTATTTTTTTACTTTTGCGAACAAGTTGGTACAAAATGAAATATAATTATTTTAGAATTAAAATTTAATATTAAATTATTGTTAATAATTGTGTTGATTTACGATGCATCAATCAGCTTTATATTTTTGTATTAACTTATCGGTAATACAATGTTTTATATTATTTTTATTTTATATTAGTATTGTACATAATAATTTTTAATTTCTTGTCCGTTGAATTTTATTATTAGTATTACTATTATTATTATTTTATTTGTGATAGAAGGTTCGATAGAAAATAATTTAATATATATCAATAGTAATTTTTTAATATAGTTTTATGTTATATATTTAATATTATATATTTACTATAAATTAATAGTAATTAAATAATAAATTTTGGTTTTTTTTTATTTTTGATTTTTACCAACAATTATCTACAAAATTAAATAATTATTTAAGATATAAAATTTAATATTAATTAGTAATAATTATTACGACTTACGGTGCCATGCACTTCATACTACTATTTCCCTTCTTATAAATAAATATTTTTATATTATTATTATTATAAAATTAATATTATAAATAAAATTATTATTTTGTTTTTTCATGTCTATTGAATTTTACTATTTTCATTTTATTTGTGATACAAAAGGTGTGGATAGAGAATAATAATTAAATACATTTAAACTAATAGAATAATTTATTTCCCATGGCAACATACATTCACATACACTCACATTTCATTTAATTTCATCTAAAACATTTGGAAATGAGCGAACTAATTTCATACATACAGAAGATAGATACGCTAGGGAAACAAGAGTACGACTTGTCGTTGGTAGAATACTTAGCGTACTGCTTACATCTGCATTTTAAATTCGATGTTTTCCGATTTCTGTGCTCCAGTTTTCAACAAAATTTCAGTTACTTGCTTTGAGTTTCATAATTAAATTCAACGATTACAAACATGAGAAATCTAACAAAAAAAAAAAAAAAAAAGAGAGAGAAGATGAAACATTAACGCACAGTTTTGATATTCCGATTAATTTTCTATGTTTAATTACTATCTTTTGCAATTGAATAAATATCTCTCTCTCTCTTTCTCTCTTTCTCTTTCTCTTTCTCTATTTCTCTTTGCATTTTGATTAATCCACTTTCATCGTTTTCAAATGGTAAATTAGTTGTCTGATTAAACATTCAGATAAATTAATGACTAAAAAAAAGAAAAAAAGAAAATCAAAGGACACTTTACGTACTTAGCAGATAAAACTTTATTTGTACACATGTTTATATGCACATGTGTCTGTGTGTGTGTGTGTGTGTGTGTGTGTGTGTGTGTGTGTGTGTGTGTGTGTGTGTGACATAAAAAGAATGATAAAAATTAATTGAATTAAAACACTCTTTAAATTGAGATATTTTTCACGTAATGCAGATTAACATTTGTTTCTTTTTAAAAATAACGAAAATCAATTGAACAAACATTTTCATTTAATTTCTTTTGTTTTTTTTTTTTTGCTTTATCTTTGATTTTAGTATTCTTTCTTATTTTTAGAAATAACAAAAATCAATTGAACAATCATTTTCACTTAATTTCTCTCTTTTTTTTTTTTAATATAATTTAAAATTTTTATTACAATTATTTTATATAATTTTAATATTATTATTATTTATATTATATATTATTTTATTATTTTATAATTTAAAATTTCAGTAAAATTATTTTAATAATTTTATAATACTATTCATATTATATATTATTTTATAATTTAAAATTTCAGTAAAGTTATTTTAATAATTTTATAATACTATTCNTTATTTTAATAATTTTATAATACTATTCATATTATATATTATTTTATAATTTAAAATTTCAGTAAAGTTATTTTAATAATTTTATAATACTATTCATATTATATATTATTTTATTATTTTATAATTTAACGTCTTATATTAAAACTATTTTAATAATTTAATATTACTATTTATATTATATATATATTATTTTATTATTTTATAATTTTCCGTCCTATATTAAAACTATTTTAATAATTTAATATTACTATTTATATTATATATATTATTTTAGTATTTAAAAATTTAAAATTTAATTATTATTTTATTTCAAATATTATAATCCATGAGATGCATTAATAATTTTATTCATTACTTCAAAAATAATGCTTACTTGCAAGATAAATAACTATTATTATTATATTATATATACCTTTATCTATACCCATATATATATAAAGCTGTGTGTAGTTAGAGTAAAACTAGAGTGAAAGGATTATCTGTTATACAAGATAAGAAGAAGATTCATATCATCCCTTTGGAGACATATCTATCGTCACGTTTCAGCAACGACATTATCGACCAACCCCCTTACTATCTTCTTAACTAGGAGTATTCAGGATTAATCTTCCCTTTTTTAGTTTTCTTTTTTTTATCTTTTACTCTCGGTGGAATAAAAATCAACATGTAAGAAGTTAAGAGGGAGACGAAAAGGTTTTGACAAATGTTGACTCAAGCAAACGTTATAATTATTTCAGGCCTTCTACCTTCAAGCAAGAAGGGTTGAACACACTGTCACACACACACACACACAAACATACAAAAACACTTATACATATTTACGTTTGGATTTAGCTCTTTGCTTGTATATGTAACTATATATGCACAT